TTTTCTGATTTGTTTTATTACAGTGTTGCATGTTTAATTTATTGGCTAAAAAGAAAACAAATCACAATATGTTCATTTTAGACTTACAGTTAGACTTATTTTATTGTCATTGCACAAAGAAACATAAGTAAAATTGGCAATGAAATGTCATTGCTTGGCCACCGGAGCACACACAAAAACACAAGTGTGCCTATAATTAAATAATATGCAAGTAATAATTACTATTTTCAAACAGTTCAGACAGTCTTCATGCTGGGATTGTTGAGCAATCTGATTGCCTGTGGGAGACAACTATTTCTGAGTCTGGCTGTTCTGGAGCAGATACTACAGACTCTCTTCCCAGACGGCAAGCGGATGGACAGACCATAGAGAGGATGGGTGGAATCAGAGAGGATCTGGTTTGCTCTGGCTAAGCAGTATGTGTGTGCAATGCTCTGGATAGGGGGGAGTGGAGCCCCAACAATCCTCTCGGCTGTCTTCTCCACTCTTTGCAGAGACTTCCAATCTGACACCTTGCAGCTCCCATACCAGATGGAGATACTGCTGCTCTCAATGGTCCCTCTGTAGGAGGTGGAGAGGATGGAAGGAGGGAGCGAAACTCTTCTCATTCGTCTCAAAGTGCAGGCGCTGCTGTGCTTTTTTTTCATCAGTGAAGCGATGTGAGTTGTCCAGCTGAGGTTGTCTGTAATGTGCACCCCAGGAACTTAGTGCTGCTGATGATCTCCACTGCTTTGTTGTTGATGAGGAGAGGTGTGTGGTTGGGTAGAGACCTCCTGAAGTCGACAGTGATCTCTTTTGTTTTGTCGACGTGCAGGAGCAAGTTGTTTATTCTGCACCAGTCCACAAGATGTTGTACCTCTTTTCTGTAGTTCACTTAATTTTGCATTATTAACTGAAGAAGAAATTGGCCCTTTTAACTTGGCCATTTTAGCCTGTGGTACAGAATGTGTGAACGCCACTGGCCTTTGCCTTCCATTCTGTGCGCACTGCCTCTGGTCCTGTGCTTGCAATTATTTGGCTTTAAATAACGCTTAAGTTAGGTATATAGATGTCTATGTTTGTTTAATGCTAAATTAGCTAAGGTTGTAGCAGCATAACAAAAAAAAATTGCCAACGTGTTGAACAATTTTTTGGAGAAATCTGAACTCGCATAGCTTTAGACACTTCTGATGGTGCCCATCACAGAAGTTGGGTTTTCATTCTTAGCTGCTAAAAATGCTGCAATGATGCAGTTGTACTCTTAGAAATGGCTGTAAATTTACAGCGGAATTCCAGCAGTAACATACTGTTATTCCACAATATGGTAGGATATTGTCAATTTGATGTCTTCTTCTGTTGTCACAATCAAGACTGATGACTGGCAGTAAACTACCACAAAATAATTGTACAATACAGTTTTTTTACTAGGCAAGACATTTTACTTGTATTTGCATCTTAGAGAACCAGCATTTAAAGACAATATTAAACGGAAAGAAAAAAATACTTTCCATAATAAATCTTTCAGGGAATGAATTGAAATCTACAGAGCATAATCAAAAGTGTTAGATTACCAGTGTTGGTGTAGTATGTTTAAAATACAATGTTAATTAAACCCTTGTTTAGTCAAATTCAAAGATAGGTTTGTCAGTTTCCCCAAAGAGATGGTGTTTGCTAAAGAGTTGCTCCCACAATCGCAACGTTTCTGTGACGTCACGTGTTTGCCCTGGAGACAGCAGTATGGCATCTTGTCTGGAGCTTATTCATAACAAGGTAAGTTCCCCAAAGCTATTAAAACATGCTCTTTAGTTTGTTCTTTAATGTATTTATGTAATGTGATGGTGATGTATTGTCTCAATGTTTGTAACTCCCTGGCGGACATTATACCACAATGTATGCTGCGTTTATACTGTTATGTATTCTGTATCTCAATAAGGATCTATTAAAAAAAAAAACAAAAAAAAAAAACAAGGTAAGTTCCATGTTAAGATTATCATGTTTTTGATTATTTTTTATGAATGCATTAACTTTCTGTTTGCACAAGAGTATCAACTTATGCTTAACGTAAGTTTATTTGTTTGAATATCGCGGAACGACTGTTCAGTACAGGGGAGCTCAAGTCCAGTCCTTGAGAGCTGCCATCTTGCAATTTTCAGATGCTTCCCTGCGCCAATTAACACACCTGAATCAAATTAATGGCGGGTTAGCAGGTCTGTTGGAGTAAAGATGCATCGAAAAGTTGCAGGACCTCTCGAGGACTGGACGTGAGCACCCTTAGTTTATTATTTTTGTTAGCAGCTAAAGCTAGCCAAGCAGGTGTAGCATGGGGTGTCGGTGGTGAAACGGACATTAAAACTGTCAGAAAGGCCGTTTGAGTTAACAGTATTTAGCTGCGAAGTCGTTTTCTTGAAGTTTTCGGCTATAGACGGCATAATGGGGAGAGTGTCTGTGCTGGACCGGTGGTTTGATCTATGCGATCAAAGCTAAGCCAAAATGTTTTTGTCTCTATAAATAATAATAATAATAAACAATGACATATTGGCTGACACATTTTTTCTTCATTAGTATGTCATGTTGGTGACTGAAGCGTGTTATGATGACTTCAACACATTTCTTGTGACAGGTTGGCAGAAGAAATCCTCTCCATAATGTTTCTATAAGCTGACTAATTTCTATAATACCTAATGTCTGAGTTGTGTTCATGGTAATTATTTCTGACATTGTTATGCTTTACGTTGTAGGTGGTGAAAAATGCTCTCCAGGGTAAACCGGGTGGACAAAGTATTTTGAATGACTGTGATGGTGACATACACACAGGTGGGTCTGGTTAGTTTTGCTCACACTTCTCTTTAAAATGTTTATTTATTATCCTAATGTGTCTGCTATTTATCCTGTGGTTCCTCCAGGCTGAGAAAACCAGGCATTCTTCTGTTGGTTCATGTGCTTCATCCTACATCCAAAGGCCACAAGAAGAATCCAAAACAGCTCATGTCAAACTGTGGACCATGTTTTCAGATATGTGCAGATATGTGATTATTCTAATGATCCTACTTCTTTGTAGAAGCACTTTCTCATAGGCTTTGTTTGCTATCTGAATGTAGCTGTGCTGCTAAATATATTTAATAATTTTTATTATTTATCTTATCATTGTCAAAGATGCAAGCCAGCTTTGAAACCTTCCTCATTGCCGTGCAACCAGGACAGCCCGTCCTCCTGCAGGTGAAAACAAGAGCAGCACCAAAGACACTTCACCATCAGTGATCACATGACCATCTATGGCTGCTTCCAATGAACTTTCAAAGCACACTTCACCTTCAGTGCAAAGTACCACAAATTCCTCTACAACTTCTGTAAATTAATCCAGCCTACAGTTTTCAACATTGATGTGACTTGCACGACAATTGAGGAGTTTAAGATCCTTGCTTTTACTTTACCTGGCAGAGTGGACATTCTTTGTTATGATGATCATTTAAATGCATACTGTATCAATAAGAGGATTTGTTTTATGTTCTTCCAATTAAGGACTTGGTTTATTACAGTCCCTGTGGCAAGCAGTTTTCTGCAGGGTCAGTATTGAAGGCCATATTGTCTATGAGAGGGTCCAGCCAACATTCCAGACAGGACAGTGTTGTCCATCTTCTACACCTTCAACACCCAATATCAACATGAGGCAGCCAAGACTTTGGAGTTCATTCAACGGTAAAACCATTCCTATGACATTTTTTACAATGACATGGTTTTAAAGTTTTAAAGCAAATTATGATTAACATTTGACAAAGGTGGTGATGTTTTCTCTTTATGTAATTAAAAACAGCTTTATTTATATATTGTACCAGCTGTATTCAAAATGCCACACTATTTATATTCTCAGGAATTTTCCCATTTTTGATTTAGTTTTTTAGTCGCTTCATTGGGATTAACCCAGAAAGGGGCACAAAAGCCAGTCATGGGAAGATGGTATCCAAAAAGACAGGAAAGACCATTCAAAAGAAAAAGTGACGGTCAATGTTCAGGTTTCCCCCCTCATCAAACACCTGATGGACTTTGAGTGGCATCTCATTCAGGTTAGTTTTTCTTTTCTTTTCTTTGAAATCTTTCTGTTTCCATATTATTTAGGATCTAAATTGTATTGTCTTTTCTTTTTCCATGTTGGACGGTGCCTTCATCTGCATTTAATAAAGTAAGTGCCAAATGGACTCTTGAAAACCATTAATAGTTCACATTTTAAAACCCTGTTAATACTAGAATTCCACATTATTTCAGCCATGTTGAATTTTAGATTTTGGAAGTCCTTTTTCGTTGATTTGCTTAGTGATACCCAAAGCATGGATATTTCTTTAAGAACTGTGTTATGTTCATAATATTGTAGAAATTAATGAGTCAAACCCAGTTTATGTCGCTGTAAACTGAAAGTCTTCAATTTTTATTCCAGTGTTAGTGAAACTATATATTGACTTTGAAGGCCTATTTTTACCAGTTCTCTGAGGAATGGTTTTGTTATTCCTTTTGAATGTTTGAATATACTGGAAATGTATGTGGTTTGAGGCATAGTGGTGCCTTTAAATAAAAAAAAATCTGTTCTGAAGGTTGCTTATCACATCCTCTTCTGTGTTATGTGAAGTTCAGATTATGCATTTTAGAACCGCACCAATTGTACCACTTCTAAGAAGCCTACACTGGGTCAGGTATTAATGTTNAGCCCATCTACCTGCTTCCTGAAAAAAACAAGAACAAACACGTAGAGGACTAGAGACACCTACTGGACAGGAGGGGATCGTCACACTCCCCCCCATACAAATGGAGTCCTAACAGGAACTCCAAAAGACACAGCGATTTAGACTAACAACTAGGTGACAATTGCAATACTAATGGACTTTGCAGTCTTACCACAATCACCCATTCAATCCCCACCTCAATAGCTCAGCCACCCTAGCCACTGGAAAAACCTATAAGAAACTTGGAGAAAAGGGGACTGAACATGAAACCTAAGCACATGGTGCCCTGGACAAAGCATCTGCCACAATATTATCCGAGCCCCTAATATGGCGGATATCCAGGCAATAGGGCTGCAAGAACAACATCCATCGCATCAATCTGCGATTTGGACACTGCAATGAATGCAAAAATGTTAGGGGATTGTGATCAGTATAGACCACCAGAGAAACACTGCCAGAATCCAGATATATTTCAAAATGCTGTAAAGCCCAAATTAGTGCAATGTCTCTTTTTCAATGACAGAATAGTTCATCTGAAAATGGTTGAATTTTTTAGAGTAGAAACTCACAGGTCGATCAACTCCATCATCATCTTGCTGAAATAAGACAGCACCTGCACCTACATCACTTGCATCCACATGCAGGTCAAAAGGACGATCCCATTGTGGAGCTGCAAGAACAGGGAAGGAACAGAGGACAAATTTGACATCATCAAAAGCTTTCTGACAGGAAGCTGACCAGGTGTACTTCACTTTATCCTTCAGCAAATCTGTTAATGGAGAAACCACTGTAGAAAAGTTCTTACAAAAACTGCGGTAGTACCCCACAAGACCCAGGAACCGCTGGAGTTCTTTTTTTGTTGTTGGTACGGGATACTGTAAAATTGCAGTTACTTTGGCTTCCACTGGACGCACCATCCCTTGTCCCACCACCTTACCCAGATAGGTAACAGTAGCCTTAGCAAACTCACACTTGGACACGTTAATGGTCAGGTGCTTCAGCCAGTCGTTCAAACAGCTTACGTATGTGAGCCAGATGTTCCTTCCACGTATCACTAAAGACCACCACATCATCCAAATATACAGCACACCCTTCCAAACCAGACACAACCATGTTCATGAGACGCTGAAAGGTTGCAGGTGCATTTCGCAATCCAAAACTTTTCCAGATCTGATCCACTTATTTGAAATTAAGTTGCATCATTATTCAT